ATTTAACTCTTAATTACGCTAATTAAAATCTTAAGCGACAATCGTTATTCATACCCAGTCGGAGAACTCAAACATATAAGATATTAAACATGATGAAATAAAAAGAATGTGGGGTAGGTTGTTGAACTTTTATCAAACAAACCATTTGTATGGGTGTTAAATTTTAGTTAATGTTGAATAATTAGGTGGAAGAGAGAAGATGATGTCGGAGAGAGAGATATGATGTGGAGGGGGTTGAATGTTGAAACCAATGTACATAGTCTAATCCAACGGTGTTAGTGTAGACACGCTGTCAAAGTCAAGTGTGGAGAGCGAGTCACTCCACCAATCTCTTTTAAGTGAGAGTGCGGCTATAATTTCTCTCTAGTTAAGCTCAAAAGAATTTATGTCATTTGTTTGTTCTTCACTCTTATAATTCTCCACAACCTTTTCACATTCCGCTCGTGGATCCCTTTTGAATTCATCAGATATTCCGTTTTAAGCTCTTCTCTTTTGAATTCGAATTCCAATTTTGAACTGAATATAGCTGCAGATTTGAAAGAAATGAGTTGCTTCAGCTGTTGTGAGGATGATGATATGCATAAAACTGCTGATTATGGAGGTCATAACCCAGCCAAACACTTTCCAGGTATCAAAATTGGATCTTTCTAACCAAAAATCAAGACTTTACTTGTTTTTGTTTCCTTACTGGAGTTTTGGTTTTGGTGTAAAGGGAATGATGCAAGGCACCACCAAGCCTCTGAAACTCCAGTTGTGAAGGTGCAGCAGCCTATCGAAGTACCTACTATCCCTTTTAGTGAACTCAAGGAAGCAACTGATGATTTTGGATCCAATTCTCTCATCGGTGAAGGCTCCTATGGAAGAGTATATTACGGAGTTTTGAACAACGATCTGCCTTCAGCGATTAAAAAGTTGGATTCTAACAAACAGCCTGACACTGAATTCCTTGCCCAGGTTTTCTGTTTTCTGAGTTAATTATGGTCACACTAATTAATGTCTGACTTTGTGTTTAAAAACTTGGGAATATTTGACTTGCTTGTAGGTTTCCATGGTTTCTAGGCTTAAACATGATAACTTTGTTCAACTTCTTGGCTACTGTGTTGACGGGAATTCACGGATACTTGCCTTTGAATTTGCCAAAAATGGATCTCTTCATGATATTCTTCATGGTACTGTTTTTGCTTATAACTATTAACACACTTGTAGAGTCTAGACCTATTCTTGAGCTTTAACAACATATTGTGTATGATTGATTCCTCAGGGAGAAAAGGTGTGAAAGGAGCACAGCCAGGTCCTGTCTTGTCGTGGTATCAACGAGTGAAAATTGCAGTTGGAGCTGCAAGAGGCCTTGAGTACTTGCATGAAAAAGCTAATCCGAACATCATTCACCGTGACATCAAATCCAGCAATGTCCTACTCTTTGAAGACGATGTTGCCAAAATAGCTGACTTTGATCTCTCTAATCAAGCTCCTGATATGGCAGCTCGCCTTCATTCCACCCGTGTTCTTGGAACTTTCGGTTACCACGCCCCTGAGTAAGTTGGTAGAATTTCTTAAGAAGACATGAATTGTTTGAGCTCTCAAGTCTCAAATGCTCTTCCTTTTTTCTATACAGATATGCAATGACCGGGCAGTTAAATGCCAAGAGTGATGTCTACAGCTTTGGGGTTGTCTTACTCGAACTTCTTACAGGTCGAAAACCTGTTGATCATAGATTACCCAGAGGCCAGCAAAGTTTAGTCACATGGGTACTAATTTCTCTCTATCTTTATCCTCTTACATATAGCATGATCACCGACCATATAAACTGTTACTTATGCATCCAGGCTACACCTAAACTGAGCGAAGACAAGGTTAAACAATGCGTTGATGCAAGACTCGGTGGCGATTATCCTCCAAAAGCTGTTGCTAAGGTATAAAAAACGAAACCAAACTTTTCATAATCTCAGATTGCGTTAACGTTTTAGAATGCATTCATTGTTCTTCTTAACCTCAAGTGATGATGATGATTCGCAGTTAGCCGCGGTTGCTGCGTTGTGTGTGCAATATGAAGCAGATTTTAGGCCGAATATGAGTATCGTTGTCAAAGCTCTTCAACCTTTGTTGAATGCTCGAGCCGTAGCTCCAGGCGAAGGAGTACATTAGCAACCGCTGTCTCGGCGTTTCTCTTCTTACCGGAAAATTTCATTTTCATATACATCAGCAGTCAAAACTTAATGTGCATAGAAATCTCTGTAATGTTTATTTTTTCATTATTTTTTCCAAACATTAAATCCGTTACCCTTATTATTTGGACTCTTGTTTACTTCACAATTAACAAGAATCATCAAACAAATTAAAATTATAATTTATATGTAAATAAATTGTTCTCGTTGTTAGTATGCTCATTTGGGTCGTAACAAAAATAGGATTAGTGTCTCGGTACCAAAAATCTTTGAAGAGCATGTCCACAGATAAAAACGCCACAATTAACTCATTATCATCCATTCAATTTTGAAAATAGTCAAAACCAAAAACAAAAAACATCCAAATTTAGAAAAACCATATAAATCTTTTATATATACGTAACATTTCTCTTCCTTTTTCTAATCTATTCCTTTCCAATCCACGTCCAAAAAACAAAACCAAAAAAAAAAAGACAAAAAAAAAATGAACACTCCAATAAAACTCGCCTTTCTCATTCTCTGCATTGCCCTAACCGCAACAGCATTTGTAGTCCCACCAAAACGTGACGCCGTTTCACCAAACCACCAAAAAGCCGTCGATGGAATCTGCAGCGTTGTGCAAGACAAACGTCTATGTAGCATTACCCTAAGAAATGTCCCAAGCGATGATCCCGCCGTTTTGGTCCGTTACTTAGCCACGGCAGCAGAAGCGTCCGTTAAAAAGGGTTTGAAATTCCTCGCCGGAATCAAACCAAAATACAAAGGAAACGCCTTCGCCACAACATGCATCACCGGCTGCGAGAAACAGCTACACAACGCCTTAGACGACTTTGCAGATTTCTGGAAAGCCGCAGGAAAAAACCTAACGAGCATGGCTGAGAATTACTTCACATGTAAGAAGAAGATGACTTCCATCTTCACTTACCATTCCACTTGTCTCGATGACATTTACGACAAGACGTTGCACAAGGTGGTCGAAGGAGGAATTGGGCTTGGGAAAAGAATGAGTGGTGAGTCTGTGGATGTGTTCGCTGGAATGGGCAAAGTCTTTAACACTTTCAACATTAAGACCAAACTTAACCAGAAAGATACCGACACGTTGCTCCCACCGCCTTTGTCCTTTTACTACTATTGATTTTATTTATCAATATATATTATATATATCATAAAAATTTGAAAAAAAAAAATGTACTGCTTCGGTCGATGGTGATGAATAATTTGCATCGATTGGGTTTTCAGATATTTTGGGGATCTTGTAACCAAAGGTTCCTTTTGATGTATGTTTGTAATTAATATGTTATGGATTATAATCATGTATGGACCTCGTGATTGGAAAGGATATGGAATAATGTGATTATCCAGTAATAAAAACGTAATTAACGTATTTGGTTATATGTATTTTGTGTATACACTTTTACTCATATTTGCGTTAGTTTTCTTTCTTCATTGATGAACCACATTCTTACGTAAATTCGGAAATCAATGGCTATATACATTGTTTTAAAACACCAAAAACTAACGCAATTTGATTCCCCGTAATCCGTCATTATTAGTGACAAACAAATTAAGTTTAAACCATTGCTAATTAATTCCATATGGTTTAACGAACTTTTTACCAAATCATCGTACTCAGCCGAAGATGAATACCATTTCGTCGCTGACTACACTTTTGTGGATACAATCTGTTTTGTTTGTAGTATATACCCTTTATATATGTTTAGTGGGCAAAATATGTAGTTCTTAAAACAAACCTGTAGTTATTATAAGACTTATTGGTTTTATTACCCAACATGCTACTGATCGCTGATCAGCCGAAGATTAATTCCATTCGGTCGCTAATTTATATATTTTGGCTGTTGCAACACGTCTGTTTTTCTTTCTCGTAGTGATGAAAAAAACAATACCAATAGTAAGAGTAAATCATCACATCTTTACATTAAACCAAAAAGATATATCTTACTATTGATTTTTTTTTTTCACTATGAAAAGATGTAAATGTAGATATTTAAAAAAAGAAAGAAAATATCAATTAAAAAGCAACTTAGAAATTTTTTCTTGGTGGTTCACATATTATAATACTTATATATTAAGTTCCGAGGGATAAAAAATGTAAAAAGAATGCTTCTCGTTAATTAATCAAACTGCAATAGCTTCGTTTATATACATAGAATTTTGCAATAAATCCACACGTACGGGATGATTTTTATTTGCTGGTGCATACGTGAAGTCAAAGTATAATTAAATCGTATGACAAACTAAACTGGTATGTAATGGCTTTGTACCAAAAGAGTTAGTTTTACAGAAGTTTTCTGAATATTTATAATTTAGTTATAATCTGGTTTATTCATACTGCACGCAGACCAGTTAACCAATGGAATGAGGGTGAAAAGAGCATGCTTTAATGTTTCGACCGAATCGTATACATAGTCCAGCTATGAATGACTAATTTTAGAAGGCTTTTTTTTGTAACTCGGTTTTATACAAGTTTGGTCCGAATTGACATAGTTGACATAGTTTTTAACTACGGATTAAAACTAAAAAAGATTACAGCGAATATCACTTAGAAATTAGAAATTTCTATTTATTTAATTTTTAGTCAATCAAGCCACCACACCTTCTAACAGGGGGCGTACGCCATATTTATCTTGCGGTGACCAATTTTTAATCCACAACTAAGCAATTACAAAAACAAATCCGTAAAGTTAATTATAGCTTTTTCGACCAAATATTCTCAGCCATTCGTCGACCGAACATCTCTCCCTCTCCATGCAAAATCCATACACGTTCCTAATTTTAGAAACCAAAAAGCTTCTATATAAACCTCCAGCATCCATCACAATAGATACTGGCCCAAGTCATTCAACAACTTGGCTTTTATCTAATAAAGCCCCTCCCTCTCCGATTAACCATTAAATAAAACCGGAGGGAGAGCAAAAAAATAAAAACAAAAATATACAAAACCAAAAAAAAAAATCTAAAAAAATGATTGGAAAAGTTGTTGTCTCGGTGGCCTCCATCCTCTTAATAGTCGGAGTTGCCATAGGAGTCGTTGCCTTCATAAACAAAAATGGTGATGCTAATCTGTCTCCGCAAATGAAAGCGGTTCGAGGAATTTGCGAGGCGACTTCCGACAAAGCCTCATGTGTCAAAACTCTCGAGCCGGTCAAGAGCGATGACCCAAACAAGCTAATCAAGGCTTTCATGCTCGCTACCAGAGACGCATTAACCACATCGTCTAACTTCACGGGTCAAACCGAAGTAAACATGGGCTCGAGCATCTCGCCAAACAACAAAGCCGTTCTTGATTACTGCAAGAGAGTTTTCATGTACGCGCTTGAGGATCTCAGCACCATTGTTGAGGAAATGGGTGAAGATCTTAACCAGATCGGGAGCAAAATCGACCAGCTCAAACAATGGTTAATCGGTGTTTACAATTACCAAACTGATTGTCTTGACGATATCGAAGAAGATGATTTAAGAAAGACGATTGGTGAGGGCATTGCAAACTCCAAGATTCTCACTACCAACGCTATTGACATCTTCCACAATGTCGTTAGCGCCATGGCCAAGCTTAACAACAAGGTTGACGACTTCAAGAACATGACAGGCGGAATCCCCACTCCCGACAACAAAGGAGCCCCTCCTGTTGTTGATGAATCTCCCGTGGCCGACCCTGATGGTCCTGCTCGTCGTCTTCTTGAAGACATTGACGAGACCGGAATCCCAACATGGGTTTCAGGTGCTGACAGGAAGCTCATGGCTAAGGCTGGACGTGGCGGTAACGGCGGTGCTGTAGGATCAGAGCGACCTTTGTGGTGGCTAAGGACGGAAGCGGACAGTTTAAGACGGTTCAACAAGCCGTTGATGCTTGTCCTGAGAATAACCCAGGCCGATGCATCATCTACATCAAGGCTGGTATCTACAGAGAGCAAGTAATCATCCCTAAGAAGAAGAACAACATCTTCATGTTTGGAGATGGTGCAAGAAAGACAGTCATTTCTTACAACAGAAGTGTTGCTCTCAGCCGTGGAACCACCACATCCCTTAGTGCCACAGTTCGTAAGTCTCATCAAACCCGAATTCACTAGTTAGGTTACACATATATATTTTTCTCTACATAATTCATGTTTTCGATATACATTGTGCAGAGGTTGAATCGGAAGGATTCATGGCGAAATGGTTGGGATTCAAGAACACCGCCGGTCCAATGGGACACCAAGCCGCGGCTATCCGAGTGAACGGAGACCGGGCCGTGATCTTCAACTGCAGATTCGACGGTTACCAAGACACCTTGTACGTGAACAACGGTCGTCAGTTCTACAGAAACTGTGTCGTCTCGGGAACAGTCGACTTCATCTTCGGCAAATCCGCAACTGTGATCCAAAACACACTAATTGTTGTCCGTAAAGGAAGCAAGGGACAATACAACACGGTCACAGCCGATGGAAACGAACTGGGCTTAGGGATGAAACTTGGTATCGTCCTCCAAAACTGCCGCATCGTTCCCGACAGGAAACTAACGCCAGAGAGATTAACCGTGGCGACATACTTGGGAAGGCCGTGGAAGAAATTCTCGACCACCGTGATAATGAGCACCGAGATGGGAGATTTGATTAGACCAGAAGGTTGGAGGATTTGGGATGGGGAAAACTACCACATGTCATGTAGGTACGTTGAGTACAACAACCGTGGACCAGGAGCATTCACTAACAGAAGAGTTAACTGGGCTAAGGTCGCTAGGTCTGCAGGTGAGGTCAATGGCTTCACTGTTGCTAACTGGTTAGGTCCTATTTACTGGATTCAACAAGCCAATGTTCCTGTCACGATTGGATTATAAAGTGTATAAATAAAATAAAGGTTTTTGTGCAAAAAAAAATTTATCAAATTCGCTTTTTTTGCAACTTAACCCGCTACCTATAGAAAAAAAAATATGCTTTCGCTACCGTCAAGTTTATAAAATTTTGACAAATAATATGTCAAATCGAATCCCTTGCGAAAAGAAGTTTTAGCTCTATTTTTGCAATTTTGAAAATTTAATTTATATGACCGTGAAAACGTTTACAATATATGTATAAGATTATATTGTGTGTTTTTTTTTTCTTACTTTTTGATTAATCCGTATTTTTAAAAGTGGTAGGTAAAATTGCAAAAATTGTCAAGATAGAAGATTTGTTTGTACAAAATCCTAAAATAAATAAAAGTAGTACGTGTTCCATCTAAAAGGTGAAAGACGTTATAGGATAATTTGCGCAGGGAGACGAAGTAGTAAAAAGTTTTCAAAGTTGTTTTTTTCCAATCAAGCTTTTCTAGTTTTGAAAAAAAAAATTTCGTTTTAATAAATTTTTAAACAAAAACATAATCAACTATAAATAACTCTTACATATATATGTAGGCCTGGACGTTCGGGTACCCGTTCGGTTCTGGTTTGGTTCCGATTCTTTCGGTTCTAGAGTTTAGGATCCATATAGGAACCAATCAATTTCGGTTCGGTTCCGGTTCTGGTTCTTTCGGTTCTGAAGTTGAGGATCCATTCGGATATTTTTTTTCGGGTATTTTTAGGTATTTTGGATATTTTTGGGTATTTTCGAATATTGTCGAGTATTTTTTGGATATTGTAAGTATTTTTAATATATTTTCCAAATATTGTTGGTATTCGGATATTTTTGGTTATTCGATCTAAAAATAGAGAGACTCACAAAAATGCCATTTTTTCAATACCCCTTTTCAAAAATGCCCCCTTTGGCTGTCTATTTTTAAAAATACCCCTTTTTATGTACAAAATGACTAAATTACCTTTCTTTTAATAAAAGATATCACAAATATATAAGGAAATATAACAAAATTAGGTCCACAAAATACAAAATATTTTTGGCGGGAAAAGTGATCCCTCAATTTTTCCCTCCAAAACACTTGTAAAAACTTGTAAAACCTTTAAAATACCTTGTAAAATTTTCCCGTAAAATTTTTTCCCGCCAAAAATTTTTCCTGCCAAAAAAGTTTTTTTGCGGGAAAAGTGATTCCGTAATTTTTTTGGCGGGAAAATTTTACAAGGTATTTTAAAGGTTTTTTACAGGGTATTTATAAGGTTTTACAATGTATTTTAAAAGGTTTTACAACGTATTTATAAGGTATTTATAAGATATTATAAGATTTTACAAGCTATTTTATAAGGTTTTACAAGTTATAAGATTTTACAAGTTTTTTATAAGGTTTACAAGTTTTTTACAAGTTATAAATTTCTTATAAAACTTTATAAGTACCTTGTAAAACCTTTTAAAATACATTGTAAAACCTTACAAAACACTTGTAAATACTTCGTAAAACCTTTAAAATACCTTGTAAATTTTTCCCGCAAAAAAAATTGCGGAATCACTTTTCCCGCAAAAAAAATTTTTTGGCGGGAAAAATTTTTACGGGAAAATTTTACAAGGTATTTCAAAGGTTTTTTACAAGTGTTTTGGCGGGAAAATTGCGGGATCACTTTTCCCGCCAAAAAATATTTTGTATTTTGTGGACCTAATTTTATTTCAAATAAGGGTAAAATGGTCATTAAAAATTAAAAGAGGGCAAACTTAAAAATGGACTCTCAAAGGGGGCATTTTTGAAAAGGGGTATTGAAAAAGGGGCATTTTTAACAATTTCTCTTAAAAAACTAATATTTTTAGATATAAACTCATATTTCGGGTATTTTCGGGTACTCGAAATATTTCGGTTCGGTTCGGTTCCGGTTCCGGTTCTTTTGGTTCTGAAATTTAGGATCTATTTGAGTATTTTAAAATTTCGGTTCGGTTCCGGTTCGGTTCTTTTTGCTTCGGTTCCGGTTCGATTCTCGTGGTTTGGTTATTTTGCCCATGTATAGTAACGACTATTTTAGGGAAGTTAATCCCAAATTCCAAATATATATGGACGCTAGAGGGAATGACGAAAATACCCTTATTAAGATTTGGAACTGCAAATTTACCAAAACCCTCGTTTTATCTTCTCTCGACGGCGACGAGAGAAACCGCCGTCACGAGCTCCGGCAAAAGTTCTTTCGTCTTCACCGTTCGGTGTGAAACTTAACCAGACAGAATTCGAACACTTGTGCTAAAAAACATGAGGGGATTGATTCGGGCTAAGTTCTTGAGCAATCTGATTCGATATTGCTCTAGAGGTACGCATTCAGACGATCGTAGCCTACGATCGTCGAAGATGATTCGTCTGTACACCACTGGTACGTTTATATGATCTGGATCACTTAGTATCAATCCGTTTAAGAGGCTTGTTATTTGATTGGATTGGGATGTGTAATGGCAGGAATGGAACCTCAGTTGTCTCCAGATCTGATTAAGATAATGGATCAGAGGCTATCGGCGATAGAGCACCGAAATGCTCTTCTTCAGAAGCTTATCAACCAGGTAAACCAAAGATTAAGCTCATTCTTGTATTAAGCTTTCCCTTTGGTAGTTGATTTTTGACATGATCGATAAACTGTGTTTTCCGTTGTTCGAAGACAGCCTGAGTACTCACCAGAAGAGTTTTCAAGAGCTAATAAGGAACTTCGGAAGCTGAGAGATTCAATGTTTCTCATCAATGATTTGAGGGCCAAACAAAAGGTAGTGAATTTGCTTTACTGTCTTAATCTGTTCCAAAGATCATCATTGATTAGGTTTAATTTCTTTTGGCAGGAGATTGATGGACTGAAATCTCTCGTGTCAGAGAGTTCGGATGATAAGGACATGCTTGATATGGCTGTTAGTGAATTAGACGAGGCAGTGGAAGAAGAAAAAAGACTTCAAACTTTGCTGCTTAAGTCTTTGCTTCCTAAAGATGAAGCTGATGAGAGGGATTGCATTTTGGAGGTGAGAGCAGGTACACTTGTGAACTAATGGTTCTTAAACGCCGACATCATCCACAAATTTATAGAAGCTGTCTGTAGTTATTTCATTTAGACCACTGAATGTTTTGGTTAGGCACTGGTGGTGAAGAGGCTTCTTTGTTTGCCATGGACATTTTCAGAATGTAAGTCCATCCACATACTGCAGGTAGAAGCAAGTATACTTCTTTGTACTTGAACTTTAATTATTTTTTATCCGGTTTTGGAATATCGATAGGTACGAAAGGTATTCACAGAAGAAAGCTTGGAAGTTTGATATTGTAGACATCACCGAGTCAGATATGAAAGGATATAAAGTAAGTAACTTCTACCCTTACTTATATGAATATTGGTATTCCAATATTGCTCTGTTCTACTGCAGCTAAGACCTTGAATGTAATTGCCAGGAAGCCAGTGCTGCAATTTGTGGAGCCAGTGTCTACGGAAAACTAAAGTTTGAGAGTGGAATTCACAGGGTTCAGGTATGTTATGATATATGAATCACATTCTGATTTTCTTGACTAGTCATACAATATCAAATAATCACTCTTGAACATTTTTGCACAGCGTATTCCTATCACAGAGAAATCTGGACGAATTCACACCAGCGCTATATCTGTTGCCATCCTTCCCCAGGCTGATGAGGTTCCAACCAAAGTTTCTCCAATCTTATTTTTGATAATTTTATCTTACAAACGTACATTTTCTTTTATTATCATTCTTATGGGTTAATCTTACGAACGTATATACTTTCTGATCATCTGTCTTACTGGCGGCTACTTACAGGTAGATGTTCAGCTAAGGAATGAAGATTTGAGGATTGATACTTATAGGTCTGGTGGCTCAGGCGGTCAACACGCCAACACAACAAACAGCGCAGTCCGAATAATCCATCTTCCAACGGGGATGATGGTCTCAATCCAAGATGAAAGGTCACAGCATATGGTACTGAACATTTGTTTCACCCACAACGCTTTCTCCCTTCATCTTACACATCCTACTGAATTTTTTTATATCTTTGTAACAGAACAGAGCCAAAGCACTTAAAGTACTCTGTGCAAGGCTTTATGAAATCGAAAGGTTGAGAATACAGAGCAGTCGATCAAAGCTACGGTCAGATCAGGTACATATCAAATCAACAATCTTTTTCTTATGTTTTCAGTCAATATTACGTAACTTTATTTTCTAGCTTATCAATGTCTAAATCCCATGAACAGATTGGCAGCGGAGATCGATCTGGACGAATCCGTACATACAATTTTCCACAAGGGCGAGTGACGGATCACCGTGTGGGAATCACTCTCCATGCCATTGAAGATATGATGCAAGGAGAGATTCTGGACTCATTCATTGATGCCCTCCTCTTACGCCAAGAAATGGACGCCATTGCTTCTTTCAGCTCCACTTCATGAATGACTGAGGGGTAGACCAAACCCAAAAACCCATAGCTTGTCGTCAGCTGTCAAAAACGTTAGCAGCAGTAATAAAAATCCATTGAAATGAAAGGAGAGAAAGAAATAGAGAGAGGGAGAGAGAGAGAGAGAGAGAGAAAAGAGGGAGCCAGGGAAGAGGCAGTGCATGGGTAGAGACAAAACAGAGTCGTTTAATGTTTTAGTAAACTCAATCCATGCTCTGCTTGTTCCCTGTCTCTCTCTATCATTACCACTTCTTTCATTGCAATACCAATCTAACCTTTGAAATTGGCCAGTTCCTTGAGTTTCTTTGTGTTTGGGTTTAAATAGATTTTGGAATCGTGTTTCTGTACGCCTTTTGTGATGTACTACACCAGAATTCACCAGAAATATTTGTACTCCCTTGTTTTGCAAAGTCTTGTACTGCCCGATCTGGCTAAAGCGTACAATTGTTAGTATTGCTAACCCTCTAAATTAGCTGGAGGGTTCTGCTTTGTACGACTTTTTGTTTTTTTATATTGGTAAATCGGAAGGTAGAGAAATAATGAAGCTACCACGTGGTAGGACCCAAAGCACAACGCAAGTACACTTTTTTTTTTTTGTTTTTTGTTTTTGTTTTTTTTTTTGCTTGATGGTTAT